AAAACTTATTTCGCGAGCATTAAATTCGAATGTGGTAAACTTTTAAAGAATTAATTAACAATTAATATATTTACTTTTTGTTTATTTATTAATTATATTTGTTATTTATTTAATACTTGTTTGCTTATTCGCTATTTTTCAAAAGTAAGAGGTGCTCCCATACAATGTTACGTCCATCTTCTTTAATATAAATTTCTCGTTAATTATTGGAAATAATAAATTTAGGATAAGGGCAATAAATTAATATTACTAATGTTACGTTCAAATTTAATTTGTTCCGATGAAAATGCTACATTAATCACTTGCAATGTGTCTCTTTGTAAGACAAAATATAGGAAATGAAAAATGTTAATATAATTTAATGATAATTTATAATTATATTGACTTCTCTCTCATTTTAGAAAGACTCCTTGTCTTAGAAAGAGATGAATGCAAGTAATTTTCATTAATTTAGCATTCTTACTAGAAGAAATTAAATATATATTCCTAGATAATGAAAAACAAAGAGTTTTTTATCAACAGCTGATTTTGCATGATAACTTGTTACAAAATTTGTCGGTGAAAAAGCAACAGACTTAAAGTGAAAATTTGACATGCTGTCAAAATATTAGTAGAATACAATATTTTGCTAACAAATTGAAAGCGAAGAATCAAAACTCTAGACAACGCAGTTTAATAGATTGGCAAAGAGGAACAAATACACTATTTTCTGCAGTCAAATTACCACATCTGTCAAATAAAAGTTTAATGCAGACACAGTATTCAATCTGATGTAATCTAAATGAGTCTTCTAGCAAATTGTATTGGCAAATTGCTAATTTTGTTTCACATATACCAATTCTTTTGAACACTTATGCTTGAGTGTGTCGATATTATGAGATAATAGATATTTTATGATATAACTTTATGATAAAGTATTTCTCTTAAATATTTTCATTATCGATTATTACTATATTGGATAAATAGTATCTTTAAAAAATCTTAAATTATAATCGTCAATATGTACTTTTTTATAAAAAGAAATAATTAAAGACTCTATTAAATTTAATCATAAATACTTTAATCATAAATTTAAAATGTTTTTCTAATTTTTTATAACTTCACTTTTTTTATAATATATAATCTTCATGAATCTTAAGTATTTTCCAAGAGTTTGTTAATATAATTTTTAGAAAATTTATTATACAAAATATCCTAAACAAAGAATAATCGAGTAACATTATTCAAAGTTAGATAATAGTCAATATTTTATTATTTCTTGGTCATGGTAATGGATTAATATATCAAGGTATTATTTTAATTATGCTATTAAAAATAAAAAGCTTTTCACAAATTACGCATATAAGTAAACTCCAAAATTTAGAATGGATTATTTAATAACTTTTTATTGAATATATCTAACGGATATTCAACTTGAGATTTATTTACTAAATTATTGGACGTTAAAAACTGTAATTTCAAAAACTTTTATTTTTCTCCATGTTTGAAAAAAAAGTTTAATGATACAAACCTATTGATTTTTAGTGCCAAAGATATTAAATACAAAAGATTTTAGATTTTACAAATTTTTTGATGCTCGGGATCTTTGTATGATACTTCCAAAAATTTCCACGGATAAAGATAAATAAATGCTTCGCGACTTTCGCAGATTTGAAAAAAATTTAATTAAGAAAGAAAACAATATATCTATTAATCTATCATATTCGTCTGACGTACGCATATTTTCTAAGGATTCCTACACGTGAATCTGTTCCTTTTTTTTCCACTTCTTACGGGTTTACGTCTACGTCTTTCCATTTCCTCTTTTCGCACGCTCGCTTAACCAGTCTACCATCTCTTCTGATCTCTGGAAGGAAACGAGGCAGTGTTCACTGGCCTGTTTTAGCTTTCGTCTCTCAGCACAGTGAGCACAGTGCGATGCGGTAGGAGAAATAGAGAGGGAAAAACTCGCCATTTGTTAGGTAAGACAAGAGAACAAGGAGGACACGAGCGGCTGTGTGCGTTCGCTTGTATAGATATTCACCAAGAGAGCCAGAGTCAAGGCCGCTCACTGCTATGTCGTGAGAGAAGAGGTACTAACCAACATGGAAACCTTGCTGAGGAATATTGAAGCCAGCAACCGTGCGCGCGAGTTCGCGCATCGAGTCTTTCTGGGCTTGTTAGTGTGGAAACATACGCAGTTGCCATTCGTATAACTCGAAATCTACATTTGCGAAATATTTATCTTTTTATCGCTTGATACGGGAGACGCTTAGAACGCGGGTGCGCGTATAGAAATTTCTGAAAATATGACAGATGGTTTAATTAATGTCAAAAAATGAATAAATCGTTATGAAATAATAATGTTCTTTTATAAATACATATGCGAAATATTTCCCACCTCTCTTTTTGCGTTATCTTGTAGTGACAAATTTTTTGATTAATTTGAAATTAATTTTTTCTCATTGAAGAGGAAGATCACTGTGAATCTCGTAACTTTTTAATTTTTAATATATTATATATTTAATATTTTTGTAATTAAACGTTGAGAAAGAATTTTAAAGTTATTAAATTGTGATTGAATTTAATTTAATTTTAACTTTAATAGAACTTTAAAACTTTAATTTAATTAAATTAAAATTTTAATTTAATTATAATCGAAGAATGTATAATTCTTTGTTATCTCTTTTTTTTTATTTCTACGTGCACTTTAATTTATTAGAGCATTATTATTTCTAATATTTGATTATGCAAAATGCATTACAGATGCTTTTGTACATCTTGATGTCTTGATTCGAGAACGAAAACTGACTTCAAAGTGAAAAGAAATGCATTTATTAAAAAATAATGTATAATGGAAATGGAGCATTCTATTTATATGGATAAGAATGAACAATGTGCAAGAAAATGATACATTTTGCTTATCAATTCTTATCAATTATAAATATTTATTATTTCTCTACAATTATCCATGTTTCCTCAATTTATTATTTATCTCACATGTTACCAATATTCTTTAATTATAAAGATTAGGATATTAAAAATTCCAAGTATATAAAAGAATCGTAAATTACTGAAAGTGTATCTGAAATATAGTAAATTAAATTATTATCTTTAAGGGAAAGAGGAGATAGAATCTTAAAGGAAAATAATTCAATAATTTGAAAGAAAATGTAATATGTTAATCGGGACACACGATGTGAGAGAAATAGACAAAAAGACACGTGTCACTTGTTGAACTCATAACTTATGCTAATCTCGAGTGTGTAAGATAAAGAAGATAAAAAAAACATTATAAATTATATAACTTAAGTAAGATTTGGATCAAATATTTGTGATTTGAAGAGATTTTTCTTACGAGATACCACATATTTGACAAATAAAAATTTTTAAGGAAAACAAGTAAATAGCAGACTAACTATTTTGAAAATGGCACAACGATTATCCATTCAGTTTAGGCCGACTTCATCGGTCAATTTCTATCCGCCCGCATAGTCATTGAGCTCCATAACATGCTGAAATGAATCTTCAAGAGTGGTGGAATGACCCAATTCATAGAAAAGGACACATACGTATGTGCCATGTGGATCGCTATCTTTGTCAGTTCGCTGATTGGTTGATACCATTATAACATCCTAATCAAAAACATTGACCGCATTTGTACGCTCCTCCTATACCATGTTTTTTAAAAATTAAGAAAAAAAAATACACATACAAAATAATTCGCGATCTTTAATTTAATTATTCGAATTAATAAACGAGAGCAAAACTCTCGCGTGTCGCTTCTGCCGCCAAATATCCCGCGAGAAATGTTTTCAGTTCGGACAATATAGAATAAAGTACAAAAAGAGAGAGACGGAGATCTAACCACAAAAGTATCTCCCGTCTCTTTCTAATTGCAGCACTGATTTTTTATAGGATAGTACAGGGAAAAGGCTCGCGCTCCAGTATATCATAAAGCTGGCATGCAGTTACGTATTTATATTATATATATGTGTGTGTGTATACACGTAGGTTCAGGCGCTGTTTATGCTCTCAATGCGCACATGTGCGTGTGTATTTACGTATCGAAGCGTATACGCGTGTATCCGTAGTTGTGTGTTTCGTACTTTCACCGACCATGACTTCTAACTTGCCTACGCCTCGCTCGGCGAATGGAAATAGATAAAAGAGGTAATAGAGACGCGTAACGATATCGCTATAAAGGTTACGGAAACCTGTTCGCTTATCCAGTTGGTGGGAAAGAAGAGTTGCTACGCATACATTTCTCTAGATATCGCGAATTGCCATTTTTGCAATAATATACGATATCAGGTATTTTTTGACTATTGCGTGTATTATATAATAATTATATATATTGTATATTATCGATATCTAATAAAACATAACCTTATTTTTCAGTTAATATTGTAAACAAAAAGCTAACGTATATAATTTTAATTGTACAAAAAAATATAAGGCACAGGGAAAAGTGCTAATATCTTTCAAAAGTCAGAAATTAAATATAAATATATATGTTGAAAATTTAACAATAGTTATTTAGAAAATAATTTATTCAACAATGTTACATTTATAGAACAATATGGATTAATACAAATTTTTATTTATTTATAGATATATATGTATTTCTTTTTATAAAACACCAGTTAGAAAGCATATGTATGTATATACGTTAAAAATTATAATAGTATATTGTATATTAAAAATTATACATGCACGTGCTCATACACTATTTATTGAACAAAATATATTGGTAATTAGGGCAAATATTTGAGTAATAATTTATAATAGTCGCAATAAATTATTGCAATATAAAAGGATAATATAAATTAATTTAAAATTTAATGTATAATATTCGAGAAAATTATGTTGTGAATGATATAATGTTTCCTCGTAAATTATACCAATATCAATTTAGTTTATTGATAATTATCTGCAACAAAAATATAATCCTCCAATCTCTCTTGATTCAAATATATTTCAAAACATTTATCAACATAAATTTATATTTTGCATTTCAGGTAGGGACGAACTGTCTCAATCGGGTTCGATAAACGGCTACGCAAATAATTCCGGGGGTGGTAATGGCGGTGGTGGCGGTGGCAGTGGAAGTGGTAGCGAAGGATGTGATTCAAAGAAAAGAAAAGGACCCACGCCACGGCAACAGGAAGAATTGTGCCTTGTATGCGGCGATCGTGCGTCCGGTTATCACTATAACGCCCTGACGTGCGAGGGTTGCAAGGGATTTTTCAGACGCAGCATCACCAGGAACGCTGTATACCAGTGCAAGTATGGCAATGGCTGCGAAATCGACATGTATATGCGCCGCAAGTGTCAGGAGTGTAGACTAAAGAAGTGCTTGACGGTCGGTATGAGACCAGAATGCGTCGTGCCCGAGTACCAATGTGCGGTAAAGAGAAAGGAGAAGAAAGCACAGAAGGTATAACACACATCTATAAAGTATTTTATATTATACAATGTCCTTTTTGAAGATGTTACATGTTCTTTCATATATGGATATTTTTTTTTTTTTTTCATGAAATTCTTTCAGATGAAGGAAGATTTCTCTTTATTTGCCTAGATTAGCAAAATCTTTATATAAAATCTAATCAAATAGAGATGTTATAGATACTCAATATTTTATAAATATTCTGAATTTTTTATGCACATTTTGTTTCAAAGCTTTATTGAATTAATTCATGTTTTGGAAAAATTAAGAAAAAATATTATGTACAATTTTAAAATTCTTGTTGCCAAATTTTGCTATAGATCTATATTAAAAATGAAAATTATATTACGAAAGGTTTCCATAGCAAGAAATTTTATATATAATTATATATTCTCCATTTCTGGAAAATATATATGTTTGAGAAAATATATAAATTTTTAATTCCACTAAAAATTACTTTAGAGATTATTTAAATATATTTACATATTTATAGTTTCTTACATTTATGGATTCTTTTTACTGTGGTATCCCATTACTTTCTTACTAATTATATATAATGTGTTGTTGCAGGAAAAGGACAAACCGAATAGTACGACGATGAATGGTTCACCAGGCAGCGCTGGAATGGGTGAACAGGTGGGCGTAAAAATGGAACCCGCGGAAGCCGAGTCATTATCCATGTCTGGAAGTAGTGGCATTCTCACTCCTGTCAGTCCTTATACTTGTGTCAAGCCTATTAGTCCTGAACAAGAGGAACTAATAAACAGGCTTGTGTCTTTCCAATGTGAATTTGAGCAACCAAGCGAGGACGACCTGAAAAGGATTACCGTACGTACTCTGCATTTTATATTGGAATGTACATATTGTCTATATTATAAACCTCTCATTATTTATCTTATATATATGTAGACTCTTGTTATAAAAAAGACTGAATATACAAAAAATTTGCAACACAATATACGCGCATATATGTTTTAAACAAAAATACGTTATGATGTACATACTTAATCTATATTTAATTTTGATTAAAAATCTGTACAAGATCTATATCATTTTCAACAAATGATATGGAGCTTGTACAGATTTTTAATACATATGTCTAACGTGGATACAATAAGTAATTAAAGTAACCGCATTTTGTCTTTCAGAATCAACCAATGGAGGGTGAAGATCCGAGTGATTACAGTTTCAGGCACATCACTGAAATTACGATTCTGACTGTTCAGTTGATTGTTGAGTTCTCGAAGAGGTTACCTGGCTTCAACGAGTTAATGCGTGAAGATCAGATTACTTTGTTGAAAGCATGTTCCAGTGAAGTGATGATGCTACGAATGGCAAGAAAGTATGACATAAATACCGATAGCATCATTTTTGCTAACAATCAACCATATACGCGTGACAGTTACAATGTTGCCGGAATGGGAGATACCATTGAAGATCTTTTACGATTTTGCCGTCAAATGTATGCCATGAGGGTCAACAATGCCGAGTACGCTTTACTCACCGCTATCGTCATTTTTTCAGGTCCGTGTATAATCAAATATCACTATAATGAAATAAATAGTTTAATGATTAATCACACAGCAAGAGTAGAATCTAACATCCAATATTAGATTTTAAATATATCTATAAAAGTAATGTTCATATATAATGGTGCAAATGTATCACCAATAATAATATTTCTTTTCCTCTTCAAAATCTTTCTCAATAATTTTTATATTTTACCAATTACAAATATGAAATAATTAGGAAAAGAGCAAAAATTTATTTTTATGTAAAATATAGCAATTAACGGAATATAAATTTTAATATTATATTATATTATATTATATTATATAAAAAATCGTGATAATTTAATGACAGATTTTTGCTATTAAATCATATATCAAATTAAAAAAGTAAATCTCGAAATATATTTTTGATCAATTATTATTTATTTTATTTAAGAAAAAAAAATTAATTTTCACTATTTCTTAATAGCAGATTTTTTATTAAAAATTAAAGTCTATTTTCTTCTTAAAAATAGTTAAGCACTATTAATTTCTAAACAATTAACGATTCAATAAGAATCTCTTTCCACAAACGAAGCGTTTTAAAAATAATGAAAGATAAGTAATAAAATTGTATGTAATCCTTAATTAATTTTATCTAGATTTTACATTTTACATTTTTACAAGATTAAAACATGTAATAAAAAATATAAAGAGTTAAAATTAAGTTTAGTTAAGTAATGATATTATATATATATATATATATATATATATATATATATATATATATATTTTTTTGTTTTCTTTTTCTTTTTTCTTTTTTTTCTTTCAAAGAGGAATAATCGATTTCAGTTTAATCGAAGAATATACTACTTTAAGCGTGTTTATAATAATATATGATGGATTTATATAGTATAATTACATCTTATTTCAGAAATGCATGTAAAACAATAGAAAGAAGATTTGAATTTGATTTAATTACTATCAAACTACTTGATCTCTCACATATATATCTTCCTATGATAAAAATTGCTGAATAAAGTAATTTGATAATTCTTATAATAATAATTCTTATATAATGCATAGTTATATAATTATGCTAGCAAATTCCTGAAGTTATTTATGGATACTGTAAATTAGAATCGGATATTCAATCGTTTAAATCTATATTTATGTTTATACATATATAATTAATATTTGTTTTTTGATTGAAAAGAATCCGACTAAGAATTGAAATATTTTAATTACAATTTCATTGGTACATATGTGATTATATATAATATATTTACGCCTATTTAATTTATATTGCGAAATCTGTTTATTTATGAGAATGCAAAATATCTTCAAAACATTAATGAGATCATCCTATGTCTTCTATCAATAAAATAAATATGTAATAATAATATAATTTGAATATCAATTCCATTATTTCTATCATTTCACATAATTTAAATTCAATAATAATTATTGTTTTGCAGAACGACCCAATTTAGTGGAATGCAAAAAGGTGGAAAAGCTTCAAGAAATTTATTTGAAAACATTAAAAGCGTACGTGGATAATCGTCGTCGGCCGAAGTCTGGTACGATCTTCGCTAAGCTCCTGTCAGTTTTAACCGAACTTAGAACCCTTGGCAATCAAAACAGTGAGATGTGCTTGAACTTGAAATTTAAGAACAAGAAGCTGCCAGTTTTCCTCGCCGAAATCTGGGACGTCCCAGATAAGGTGGTGATGCCCTAGTTTCCCAGTCGCCGATTAACGGCGATTGCGCCGGTCGGCTGAACAAATCTTTTGACGTCGTAATAGCAGCAGCAGCAGCAGCGGCGGCAGCAGCAGCGGCAGCAACAGCAGCAGAGCAGCAGCAGCAGCAGCCAGCAGCGGCGGCGGCAGCAACGGCGTCGACGATGGACGCATGGACGTGGAAAACGGCCTGCGCGACTCTTGTACTAGTGCACCATTATGCCACTGCCTCACCGTCGCAAGTCAACATATTGTATCAGACGCTGTTCTAGATTCATTACGATCATTTGTTCTTTCTCGCTGATCGACCGCCTCTAGGTATCATCCTGGACTGATCGATCTTTATATGGTTTGTAAAGATAAGCATAAATAAGCCGGCCCTGCACCACTCGCGTGTGGTTCACGTGCAAACAGTACTTTACAGATATACGGATGTGAAACTGTGTGAAGAAGAGAGAGAAAAGCGTTAAAGATTTACGGAAATGATGAGTTCATTTAAGAGCAACATATTAATGAGAATATACACGATTAAAAAAAAGAAAAAAAATAGAAAAAAATACCTGTGATAAAAGAGATGATTCATATAGTAATAAGAAATGGAAGATTCAGAGAATTGAGGCTTTATGCTACCAAAGATCCATAACATCAAATAAACGTGGTATCAAATCAGTATGATTTATAGAAACTGATCTTTGGAGAAAAATATTTAGCCGTCTATATATAACCTTCGTAGTATTCATATTCTATCAAAGATTTTATTTAAATTGAGTCGCTCAGTTTTAAAACACGAGCCAATCGTACCGATATTTTTTTTGCTCGCGAAATTACATAATCTGTTATTCGCATAAATAAATCCACGCGAGCTACGTAGGGTCGGCTTGAAAAAAAGAAAACGCCCTGCATATTGGAAATTACGTGTGGAAATATGTGCATTTCGAACAGGAGCGGGAGAGGAAGCATAAACAAGAGCAAAGAATTATATACTGTTGTGAGAGAAAGGCAGTGGCGCGGCCCAGGCTGTGATACATAGAGAAAACAGTACAGAGAATGAAGATATATAAAGAAAGCTACCTGCAATTTACATTTTATCGCTATGTCTCCTACCTGGATACATCCTTACATACAATCGATATGTAAATGTAATGTATTATATGATATAAGATATTGATATATCGAATGAATCACATTTGTCATTCACGAGAAAATGAATAATGACAAGTGCGGTTAATATAAAGGAGGGAAAGAATAGAAGGATATAGTAACAGGGTGAGAATAGAAGAATCGTGATAATGGTGAAGAATAATTATTTAAGTTAATCGGCGATACCGCTCGCAAAAAAAAGTTCGAGAATTAAAATCTTTAGTCAACAATAACACAACATTCTCCCAAGTTTTGACCGTAGAAAAAGCGAAAGATGAATAAAACCTGTAAAGTGTTCGCTGTTGAGCAGCGTCGCACAAATGGAGCGCAAAGTTAAAGAAAGAAACGATACATAACAATACCATAGAGTCTATATCACGCATACACATACAGCATAATATATCTTGCTAGCATATACATTGTTCATATAGAGAGAGGGAGAGAGTGCGAGGAGCATGCATGTGTGCGCGCATGTAAAAGAAAGAAAGAAAAGGCGAGAAAGAAAGAGAGAGAGAGAGAGAGAGAGAAAGAGAGACTAGAACAAAGGCCAGAAAATTAGAGAGTCAAAGGTTGAAAAGGATCTACACCGCAGCAGGATAACGCGTCTTGGAATTCTATATATTAATATTTTTACTAATACAGATCATAAAAATGTTCAGGACGTCCCTCAAAAAAAGAGAGAAAATGGCTAGAAAAATGAAATTATTTTCGCAAAATATATATTTTTTACGGAATATAACATGTTTAAATGTTATAAAACAGAAACTGATATGTATTACTTTTTTACGAAAGTACAATGTTCGTAAAAGAAGTAATGCAGAAGATACAGAATAATATGTCGTGAATTAATATTTGATTTCTTTTACACATACAGACATTACATACACACATACATATATTACATACACATATACATATATTACATACACATATACATATATTACATACACATATACATACATTACATACACACACACACCATTCGTGCTAAAATTTTAACAAAAAATATGTTTTTAAAATATATAAAAAAGAAATATATGTATATATGTGGGACGTCCTACACAAAGATATGCGAGGAAATATAATGATATTCATGAAGAATACTGATGTCTTTTTCATGGGGTAACTGATATAAGATACACTCCGTTGATTCTCAAACAGAAATATGGGAATACATAATATTTTTTTTATTAAGGAAAAGATATAAATATATATATATTTTAAGTAAGTAGAGCAAACCAATTTTGAATTCGTTTATTAAGTCGAAAATTGTATAGCGAATGATGTAATATACAGTTTACCGCATCTCTTACGTTTTGTGTACACGTGTGTGTGTGTGTGTGTGTGTGTGTGTGGTGTATATGTGTGTGTATGCGCGCGCGTATGTGTGATTATCTATTTTGCATGTCATTATCTGAAAAAAAAAGAAGTTAAAAGAAATTAAGAATCTGAGAATCGACGAATTCAAAGAATTAAAAATTCCAGAATTGTTTTGAATATTATTTATTATTTATTTGCGCTACAATTTTCGATCGAATAAATCGAAATTTAAAGTCGGCTTCCTCCATTCGTTATAAACAATCGAAGATTAAATTTTATAAGATAGTTAAGAAATGACGAATGATACATGATACGCTTGGACAAATCGATCACCTTTCATTCCAAATTGATGGAAATAACGAAAGCAATCGAGCGAGAAAAACCGACCGGCGATCGATTATTTAGAAATACAATAAAATACAATAAAATAAGAAATACAGTAAAACAAAAGTGATGCAATTCGTTGACTTGAATTAATTCTCGAGCGGCTGCACTTTTAAAATAATAATCAGGCACTCTTAAAGTATTTACTTATTATCATTAAATTGTTCCATGTTATATTTATTATTGTTCTAAAAAATAAATTTCTTTTAGATAGATTCCATAATATAAAAATTGAAACACACAATGATATATAATAGAAGATATATAATTTCAAAAAAATAATCATTAAGAGATTTTTTAATAGTTATATAAAATTTTATTAAAATATTTTTATCTAAATATTAATTAATCAATATGTTATATGTGCTCCCACTTGAGATTTAAATCTTCCATAAATCTTATTTCTATAAGAACGCGAGGCTAGTTTGGTAGTAGGTCGTAGATGAATGAGCTAGGTGACCGAGTTCTAGTGCAAAGCCTTGTGCCTTCAGCAGCGGATATCGGCTCACCACAAACAGAAAATAAAGAAAAATACGTGAAAATTAACCGTCCGTCTTAATCTTTTAATGAGAAAGAAAAAAAACACTTGTAAGTGAAATCACACGAGTTTGGCGCATTGTTGTTATAACGATGAAGATAGAAAAAAGAAAGAGAGAGAGAGAGAATGAGTGAGTGAAAGGTAAAAGGCAAAATAGGTGGGAGACATAAAGAATAGACTGCGAAAGTAAATTATTAAGAATGGCTATAGTTGATAGAACATTTTGAAAAATTAATTATAAAACGCGAGGATTGTAAGATGAGAGTTAAGTAAGAATTGTGAAAAAAGTTCTTATAGTTTGCAGAAATCATAACAGAATATAATAACACACTTAATCTTTAACGATTAGAATTAAAAAATGAATACAGACAATGACAAAGAATTCTTGGATTCTTGGATCTTTAGATTTTTAAGACTCTCTCTATTCTTAAGAGTTTGAATCCTCGACAAGCTCGAATTCTTAGATTCTCGGATTCCAAGATTCTCGGATTCTTAATCTTTTGAATAATTAAATCCTTGAATTCGCAAGTTTAATTTTTTAGTCCTTTCGATTCTTATTTTTTACGTCTGAAAATTTTGTAAAGAGATTCTTGATACTATAAGATACGTAGTCGTATCATAAACACACATATACACACATATATTATCAACTATTTATATATAATTTTATTTTATAGCACGTCTTGCTAGTTAAGTTCGCAAAATAGACGCGTATATATAATATATATATGTATATCCATGTAGTACATATTTCACATACACACAAATATATACATATATATACATATATAAACAAAATTATTTCATTAGAATGGATAAAGAAAAAATAAAATAAAACTCGAGTCAAAATTTTTCTATTATCTAGTCCATTCTACTTGACGTTAAATATTTTTTTAATAACAAATAATTTTACAATGTGATGAAACGAGAATTTTAAATAATTATTTCTCTTATTTTATTATTTTAAAATAAATATATAGAAAATAATTTTCGATTTTAAGAAAGAATCTAGCAGATACAAGAATTCAAGAATCGAAAGAATTGATATATTTCAAGGATCTCACAAAAATTATAGTTAAATTAAGTAAAAAATTTTCAAATCTAAGAAATCTTAAAAAATAACTTGAAAAAAAAAAAAGAAATTAATATATCCCAGAACTTAACTATCAAACTTAACTATCAAATGTATAAACTTAAAGAATGTTAATAATCCAAGGATATAGGAATCCAAGTTATGCGACAAGTTGTATTACATAAAACGCGTTCTAGCTAATCTCGCTTTACTTTCCTCAAACTTAACAATGCTTATAATATTACATGCTGCTTAGTTGCAAGAAAAAGATTGTTAAAAATCGCGTGACACGAAACACATTTAATAAAGCGATCGAAAAAGGCATAAGAAACGACAAAAATGAACACGCAATTCTACGATCACTGCCAAGGACGTTTACCGTCTATGTCATTCTCGTCTTGTTGAGATGCTGTCATCTTTTTCGAGATTTAAGAAACCGCATGTGAGACAAAAAACAAAGCACGATAAAGTGAAACAATTAAACGCCTATTGGGCGATTGTTCAGAATACTGCCAAGTGTAGAATCGAGTTTCTGTGTTTTTTTAAAAACTAATACGTCCATATATATATATATACACACATACGTACTCGTATGTATATATATATGTATGTATGTATATGTATGTGTGTGTATATATATATATATATTTGATATGTGGATGTATTCGTACATGTATATACACAAATATGCGCTCACATTCGTAATCAGTTAAGTGCACTAAACATTTTTACGGGCGTCGTATCTCTGTGTCTGTTCATCTTGTCTATCGGAAAAATTGTACACGATCGAAGATTTTGACGTAACAACATGCTAAGACACTTTGAGTAAAAGTGATACAGCACTTTGCGATAGAAGAAATTTATTTTATATTACATTCTAGAAAAATGATGATGCAAAATTTAACGACGATTTAATTCAATTTAATTTAATTGATGATATTTGGTATGTTGTCGCAATTTCTTCGATTTACGATTAGGATCTAAAATATATCTAATATCCAAGATATAGAAACCCGAGAAATTTGAGATCCATGAGAAACTTCGATCGCTTTCTTCGCACTAAAAAAACAAAAGTCTTTGCACTTGGCAAGTGTGTCTGTATCGCAAATTATCGGCTAGCTTCCATGAATTATCATAAAAACGAAGTTCGGTGTCAGCCTTGCAAACGTCATTTGTTGCTTGCATGGAACTCTCTTACTATTATTGTTATTAACTACGACAACTACTGCTGTTACTATAACTAATATTAGACTTTATCGCAAATGCGCGCGGATACTGCTACATTATTATTATTATTATTATTATTATTATATTATTATATTATTATTATTATTATTATTATTATTATATTATTATTATATTATTATTATATTATTATTATTATTATTATTATTATTATTATTATTATTGAGATACTCTATCGCTATTACTCTACTATATTATTACTCTATTACTGCTATACTAGTATTTTCATATAAAACATTCACGTTTATACTTACAGGGGGAACACAATGATACAATCGCACGCACATTGGCATGAAAAAAAAACGATATACATAAGCGCACAGATCTTTTGGTATCGTTGACTCTTATTTCTTTAGATCTCCTTAACATTGTAATTTCTTGATACTAAATCTTTCTCTATATCCACCGTATGTATCGGTGATACTGGAAACGCCTGATGCTGTACACATTCTTGATAAATTCCTGCTGCGGAAAATCCACGATATCTCATAAACCTTTGATGCATTCTTTCATTACACTCGGAGAAGTGCGTTTGTATTTACGTGCGGAAAATTTAATCACACAGAAGAGCGATTGAAAGGGGGAAAAAAAAACTCTTCATAGACTTTTGCATGAGTTCATTAGGTGCAATTCGATTTTAGTCCC